GTTACTTCTTTTGTTGACTTATTGCAGAATGTAGCTTAGCTTTCTTTTTCTTATAAAAAGTCAGAGACAAAACAGTCCACTTGCTAGTTGTATTTAGGTCCTGTATTTGCATCAGTCTTCCTAACTTTGATGTACTTTCTTCTAAGCCTTTCTATTATATATTTATGCTTTATATATTCAGCATGAAATGTGTGTGCTTTTTGTGAGGGAATTTCTTAAATTTTCTATATCCTCTTAAATGCTGAGTAGTACATAAATGAAAGCTAATTAATGGCAGTAAAGTGGAGAAACAGTTTCAGGAAGTTGAAATATCATAACATTGTAAGATGTATATTCCTTGTACTTTTTGTGCCATTGCTTCACATACTGTCACTACAGTTCATGTAGTTACATGGACAGATTATTTAAAATATCAGCAAATGTAAAAGTACACTTTCCATTTTATTCTAATCTCTGTGTTCATTTTCTGTTTTACAGAGATGACAAAAAGAAAGGGCAGAAAACTCCAAAGAAGGTGAAGATGGGAATCTGTAAAAGATCAGCAATGAAACGTGCCATATTCTCCAGGAAGAAAGTAAAGAATAAGAAAAAAGAGACGTGACTTTTCTTGCTGCTGCTTAGTTATTTATTTTTTTTATGTCCAGCCTTTGTTCTCATTTTCTAAAAATGTAAATATTAACATCCAAAATAAAACCTGATTGAATTAAAAGTGACAGTTCCTTTATTATACATAATTACTGGCACCAAAAAAACTCCCCAGTCTTAGTGAACTACCACAGCCCTTACCATGTGTTTGTATAATGTAACAATTTTATGTGTTTAGGATTGGCTGTTTGTCTGATTTGGTGGGAATCTGACATTCAGGAGAGTACTGCAGAGAGGTAAGGTAGTGGTGGATGCTGAGGTTTTGTGGTAGGTGTTGGGGGACCTTGGGCAAGGGGGAAAGTGAGGGAAGGTGATGGAAAGGTAAAATTCTTGGGAAACCACGCTCTGTTAGTTACACTCTCAAAGAAAAAAAAAAAAGGTAATTAGTAATGTTAGTGAGGGGGCGGAGCAGGAGGAGCCCGGCCCGCCTCCCCGCGCCCCCCGGGCCGCATCCGCCGGGAAGCGCCGCCCCCGGAAGCGGGAGCGGAGGGAGGCGGGCGGGAGGGGCTTTGGGCATCCCCTGCGAGTCCCGCAGCCATGCCCGCCTTCAGGCAGGTGGGAGAGAAGCAGCTGCCGCAGGAGGTGGTGTTCATGTGTTGGTCCCCCAAGAGGGACCTCATCGCCCTGGCCAACCGGGCGGGGGAGGTGAGTGCGGGCCGGGGGAGCAGCGACTGCGCCGGCAGAGGGCCCGGGCCTCTCCCTGCAGGCCGGGCTGCCCTTGATGCTGCTTGCGGCATCCTTCTTGTAAGCCTGGCCAAGCATTTAGGAACAGCAGCGTTTTTTGTTTTTTTTTTTTTTTTAAATCAAGCTTCTTAATTCTTAGTGCCTCTTCCCTTTTTGCAGTCAGATTTCCAAACAGATTCACTCGTGATATGCTCCTTGCCTGCATTTGTGGGATTTTAAAGGGCGTGGAATTTCTAATTTAAATCTGTAGTCAACACTTCTTTTTTCTTGGAGCTTTTGCATGTGGTCATGTATGAAGACAAGACTGTTGTGCTCTCTGCTGGAGAGGCCCTGGGCAAGCCCTGTTGGTTGCTGGCTCCTGTCCTTGTTCAAGGCTCAGCTTATTTCTCTGTAGTACTGCCTTCTAAAAGAACATGAGAGTGAATCATCTGCTAGAGGAGCAGGTGGTATTTACAACACGAGTTATTAAAAACTGATTAAAGAAGTGCATCTTGAAGTGGTTTACTGACTGGTGTTAATGGGAGAATGTGGTTTGTCTTCAATGTATTTGTTTTGTAGGTTTTACTTCATCGGCTTGCAAACTTCCAACGAGTGTGGAGTTTGCCTCCAAATGAAAATACAGGAAAAGAAGTGACCGCTCTTGCTTGGAGACCAGATGGCAAAAGTAATGTCAAGTACACAAGGTGATATAGTACAATAAAAGTCCCATGGGAAATCGTGAATCTTGTGGTGATGATACCTTTTATCTGTGAAGGAAATTTTCAAGGTAACTGTGTTTGAAGAGAAGGATGGTTCATTCACAGTAATAGATTAACACTTTTGAATGCAACTGCAAGAAAGATTTGCAAGAGAGACTTATGTCTAAAATACTGCTTTTCAGAGTATAGCAAAACTTCAACCTCCTAACTAAGCAGAATATTTTTGTATGAACTACAAAGTTTATTGGGAGAGGAGGAGGCTGGCTGTCTGATCAGGATTGATTGAAGAGCTCAGCTTATTTGGCAGAGGCAAAACTTCAGATGCTAAAATTGCTCTCACAGTAGACCAGAGAAAGAAACACACCTCGGTCAACAGAAATAACATTGAAATTAGTATCTTAATAGACTTGTCCTGGAAATTAGTTCATTTTTGATTCACTGGAAATGGGAGAATGGGAACAATCTTCTTTCATGATGTGGGCAAAACTACCTACATAGTTTTCTGATGGCATCTAAGCAGTTTAAGAAACTTCTTTTTAAGCTGGTTACCTGTGATTGCAAGGAAATAAGTACAGAAGTCTGTGCTTACCATACTATTAGGGATGAAGAAAGTTAGGAAGAAAGTGATGGAAAAGTTGCTCAGTAATTCGTAACTTCTGTTGCCATAAAACCCAACCGTTCTGCTGGACAATGTTTATATATAATATTGACCTCAAATTTGCAAAATTGGAGGCCTCTACTGTATCAGAACTGTTGTTAGAAGTGTTAGAAGCATGTTCAGTTCTACAGGTAGGTAAATAATTGTGAAATCAGGCCTTTGCCTTAAATTTACCACCTAAAACATGACAGGAGTTCAAACTTTAATAAGTAGATTTCAAATGAGAGTTTGAAAGGACTGT